AAAAAAAAAAAAGATGACAGCTCAGTCATTATACTTTTTTTTGGTACAGGGATCTTCTGGGTTCCGGATCTACAGGGGAACCGACTAATCCGGAATCGAGCGGGTAGGACCACAAGGGCGGCAAAGCTCTCCCTCAAGAGTTTTAATACTGCTGCATTCCCAGGACTCGAACTCGAGACCACTGATTAAGCTGAAAGAGACCCAAGCCATCTCATCCAAGCGCTCTTGATTATTATACAATAATATCGTAAAAATTGATTAGAAAGTTGCAATTTCGTTGTTAACAGGTCAAAGATTGCAATTAAAAAAGATTTGGGTCGAGAATTATTTTCTCCTAATGTCTATGCAATTAATTAAAGTAACATATTATAAAATTATCTAATTATTTGTGTTGCGAAGTATAGAAGATACGTAAATTTTAGAAGAATAAAAATCTAATCGGGTTAATAGTTATATTTTTTTTTTATTTCTATTATTATTTTGAATGTGCATGTCACTTGACATGTGTATTTATTAAAGTATAATATAACTACCTAGTGATAATATTATAAAATTATGTGGAATTGAACAAAATAATACAACTGACCGTTTGTACAGTCCCGTTACAGAAATATTCCATCGGGTTTATAGCCGTTAAATCATCATGTAATTGTCGGGGATAGTTGATCTAACGGTTACAAAGTTCGACGAAATGGTTCCGTAACGGATCGTAGTATCTTCGACCGTCTGTACAGTCCTGTTACAGAACCATTCCGTCGGATTTATAGCCGTTAAATCATCATGTAATCGTCGGGGATAGTTGATCTAACGGTTACAAAGTTCGACGGAATAATTCTGTAATGGGACTGCAACATCTCCCCTTATTATATTGTACTTGCAATAAGATTTAATTATTTGAAACTCGTCTTTATAGCATATACTAATTAAATATGAAACTTATATATATAAAGGTTAAAATTCAAAAATCAAATTATTTAGTCTAAAGAAAAAAAAATTTACGACTTTGAACATCCTTAATTATGAATCACACTCTAATACACAGCACAGCCAATAATTCAAACAAATTAAGGCACGCTAATTATAATTATCACGTACAGTACTTTAATCACCTTTTCTAGTCAAAGCCAGCGCAATTTTGCTCTTATTTTATTATTTTCTATTTAGGATTTTCAATTTACTTTCTTGCTTTTATACTTAATTGCATAATCAAGTGCGAAATACGAATAGAATGTTATTTATTATTTCTTACTTATATAGTCAATATGAGTTTGAATTGAATGTTGTCTGTTATCTCTGTTCCTGATCATAAGTCAAGCTAAATATAATATTTTATTTTATTTAACTAATCAAGTATGTGATGTTATTTTATTTTATATGCTTAAATAAATATCAAGCTCAACCATTTTCATTTATGCTTGCAAACGGGATTTTATATAGATTGATGTTAGTTATCTGGTTTTGCTATGTGTTGGAATATCACTTGTGAGTATCCCACATTGATTCTACAGGGAAAATGAGTCTAGTATATAAGCCTAGTGGGCTACTCCTCCCATCACCAATTGGTTTTGGGATGGAACCTCACTAAGGTGCATCTAGGCTCACCCTCTTATGGTGCGCCTTCATCTGGTGGGACCGCACTCTCTTCCCCCGTTTCTAATATGGTATCAGAGCGGGCCTGTCCTAGGAACTGCAATGACTCTCTCTCTACCCGGCCTGCTCTGGGCTTGGGCTTACGAAGGACTCACAAGTGAGGGGGCGTGTTGGAATATCACTTGTGAGTGTCCCACATTGATTCTACAGGGAAAATGAGTCTAGTATATAAGCCTAGTGAGCTACTCCTCCCATCACCAATTGGTTTTGAGATAGAACCTCACTAAGGTGCATCTAGGCTCACCCTCTTATGGTGCGCCTTTATCTGGTGGGACCGCACTCTCTTCCCCCGTTTCTAATACTATGGAGTCATCGGATGACTCGACATGTGGAGACATCCATAATTATTCACGAATGATGTATACAGTTAGTTTTTTGTTTGACTGACCAAATTATTATGCCGACATACAATTTTTACAAATATTATACTAAAAATAATAAGATGATATATGAGTTTATTGAATAAATAGTTGGCTATATATATATATATATGATATGATAGTGCATATCATAATTTCATGTACATGTATTTTCCACCGACCTATGTTGCTATGTTATTATTAAATAAATAGTGGGCTACATATATGATAGTGCATATCATAATCTTATTCATTTTATAATCTTATTTTCCTTTTTTTTCTCATTTTGAATAAGACAAATTATATATCAACAAAAAAACTTAATTAATTTTCTATTTGTGTATCTTAAACAATATTGTCCCTTAAAAAAAAAAAATCACAGACCACATGTAAATGAAAGACGTGGAGTGGACTGTTGTACATGTGGGTACAAGAATTTGAGATGTACACAAATATTGGCTTAAGGCAATAGTTTGTGGCAAGTTCAAAATTGCACTACTACTAATTAGATGTGGACTATATTAAGTCAAAATAGCACTACTGCTTAAACATTTGTGCAGATTGCAATAATTGTAAAATGTTCTACATGTGCCTTATATATAACAATTATGGACCCAACAAAAACAAGCAACAATCTTGTCACATAATGGTTTTCGTGAAGGTTTTTAGTCATTAGATATACAGTTATTGTAGATACGTTGAAATTATATGTTTATTTAATGGCTAAAAACCCTCACGAAATCATTCGGTGATGGAATTGTTGCTTTTTAAACTCTTCTAGAAGAAAAAAAAAAAACAAACAAAAAACAAAAAAGTTGCTAAAAATAAGTGAATGAGAAAAGGTCATATCATTAACTCATCGATCCATTCAAAAACTGTGTTAGGCCCACATAAGATTAAGATAGCTACGTCGTCGATTTCAGCACACACACTCAAAATGGGCCTTCATATAACCAAGGCCCACTAAGATAGAAAAAAAAAAAGAAAAAGAAAAAAATTAAACGCCGTTGCCGGGGATCGAACCCGGGTCACCCGCGTGACAGGCGGGAATACTAACCACTATACTACAACGACTTGTTTGCTTCACGACGAACAGTCGATCTAATCATGATTCGTGAAAATTCAACACCCTCTTCAAACTTGCCCTGCCTTGCAAAGACCTTTTGGTGGCCTTCTTGGTAGCAAATGGCGATTTATCCCCTTTTCCCGGGCTAAACATTAGCAACGGCGAACATCCGGGACTCGAGAAATACGGCGAGCTTGTGGGTCCCGACATTGTGCTTAGTCGCGGAACCGACTGCGCCATGTGGCGGTGGGCCGAGCTCCGGGAAAGGCCGTCAACGTAGAGAAGGTCGTCGAAACGCGCGAGAATGTTGAGGGCCAAGGTCTCGAGTGCTCGGGAGTAGCTCTCTAGTATCGATCTCCCCACATCCTTAAATTGATAAAAAAGTTACGAGAAACATGTGTCGGTGAGTAAAATCGAGTTGAAACCAAAAAGAGTCGTGCAGTTTGGTATGGTTTGATCGGTTATTTTCCTATGACAAGATTAATGTAGTTTTTTTCCTAATTATTTTTTGTTATATTCTTGAAAATTATTATTTTACTTCAAAATTTATGAAAGCTGGCTTTTTTTTATAACTAGACTAAATTTCAGGGGAAGTTTTTGTAACTAGCTTCTAACATAAATTTCTAACTACTACACAATGTACCTTGTTGTGTTGAATTTTGCTCTTATCCAATGTGGTCCGAGGCAGGCCTGGAAATCGAGCTTTCAGTCGAACCAAAAGGCTCCCGGCCCTTTTTGAAAACTGCTCGGATTTATCCGCATCATGGCTCACCAAATCCTTCACAAACTCCCACGATGACTTTGAGTTACTCGACTTATGTGTTCCGTGTAAGTTCGGCTTATGGTGAGACAAGTGAATGGCTACCTCAAGCCTTTCGGCAATGTCTAGCGCATGATGATCGGAAGCCAAATCGAGGCAGTCAAGCATGCACTCGGGCGAAAATTGGTCGGAAGTTATGTATCCGTAGAT